AAAAATGATGGATGGATGGATGGATGGATGGATGGATGGATGGATGGATGGATGGATGGATGGATGGATGGATGGATGGATATTTGATTTTCCATTCCACAGTTTGAAAGCTTTACTAGTACTAATAACACAAACACTGTTAAAAACAAATTTATAAAACAATACAAACTGAAAAACCAACCACTGAATTGTGATTATGTTAAATAAAAATGTATACAGTCCACTGYTTTCCACCTAGTTATAATCCACTACTGCACACAGGAATAAACCATTAGATAAACACTGAGTGCTCTTTTTTCCTTCCTGATCTCGTCAAAACTTAATCCTCTTTAACTATAAACAAACTTTGCCCTATTTAATAAGATAAATTGGTGTATTTTCATTTCACTGAACACTTTTTTTTTTGGAAAATGAGTATTTATTGAAAAAAGAGTGTCCTAGAAAGCTTATTTCCCAAATATGTTTATTAATTATTGCACAGCAGTTTGACACATCTGTTCTTTCTAGAAAAGGTCATTTAGTAACATGGACTGAAAATGTGCCCAAATAAAAAAACTCAACACAAAGGAAAACAACTCAGTAAAGTTTTCAAATTGCGATTAAACTACTTGTTTAAAAAACGTTATTTTTGTCRCTGCTTAAACACTAAGGAAGCGTTCATCTCCATGTGGAATTCTGAAATAATGAGATGAATTATAACAAGAAAAGAATAGCTACATGTCTATATTGCTTCACCCTAAATGAAGAACGTTCAGTAGAACTGTTAAAATTAGAGTTCGTTTAACACGTAATGTTTCTTCAATTCATCAAAAGAATTCAAGCTACCAGAATAAGAAGTTTCAACATAAAACAAAGATAAAAAAAATTTCAGATCACCAAGTTAAAAGCATAAAACATGAGAGTTAGTGCAAACATACATGCAAATGAGCTAATATGTTTTAAGATTATTTACAGTAAAAATTACTAAAACAAAAACCCATCTTGAGCATGTTTGTTTTCATGCCTTTATATTATTACACTAAGAGACTAAAGTGAAACTTTTAAAAGGGAATAAAATAGAAATAAGCACTAAACAAGATTGCCTGAGAAGATGTAACTTGTGAGCTTCGTTTGTCATCCTCAGAAACATCCTAATGAAAAAAAAAAAAAAAAAATCAGAAGCTTGAGTGAACTGAAACATTCCAGCAAAAGTTAAAATAAATTTAAACAGGCTCACAGTTGGGTTTTTAGTGTGACCTTTAAGAAAACTATTTACTACAAAAAAACTCTGGCACATACAGTATTTAAGTTAAAAACAGGCAAAAAACATTTGTCAAAATAAAAACCCTTAAACCTACCATATCCTTGCTACTGTTAATCCAAGAGGTTTGACATTACAACTTAAAAAAATACTTCAGGGTACAAACAAATCTTTACATCATGCAAAGTGGAAACATTTTGTGGAGCCGCATAACAGCGCTCGGAAAGGAACACATTTTAGTTCAAAAAACATCCTGAGATGGATAGTTTCTTCTTCTGTCTTGGTCCAAGTTTTTTGTACATTCATTCATCCAAGTCACCCACAGATAAAAGGAATGAAGAAAACATCCAAGTTGTCCTTAAGCTCTTTGCAGTACCTGATGATTGTGTCCTTATATTCCTCAGAGATGCAACATATTTTATTAAGATAAGAAGATTCCTCCTGCTTTTGTTCTTTTCCCGCACAGAAGAAATAAATCGCACCACATTTAACAGTAACTGTCCATTTTTTTCCTCTTGAGCAGCAGAATATACAAAGGCTCTCCCATATGTGCCAGCTAATTGGTGGACTGGTAAATAAAAACTATCAAATCTATTATTTGAGCTGTTCTTTGCTTAAATGATGTGCTGATATCCTTTCAACTTGAGTATTTGAGATGGATCAAAACCAAAAGCACATAAGATAAATAATRTTTACAGCAAGTGATAAAATAAAAATTATTCTTCCTATGATAAAAATAGATGAAAAACATCTAAGATTACAATAATCTGTATATTTGATTATATCCAGATATGTTTGGGCTTCATTTGTTATTTAAATATAATCAAAAGAAAAACAGATAAAGGTGTTAATTTAAATCCCACCTCATGTTATGATTTGATAAAATGCTCCTTATTTSTTTTCTTTGGATTTTTCTGTAGTTTGTTTGAGTATCAGCAGAGTATGAGTCTTCAGTTGAATTAAAAAAGTAGCCTTTAGTTCCTTTTTGGGGGGGTCTTTAATATTTGCAGCTTTGCCACAAATTCTTGTGTCTTTGTTCTTTGAAATATCATGTCCCACTTAAAAGATTGTTTTCTCAAAAACTGTTTAAACATCCAAAATATCCACATGMTAAAAAGGCATCAAAAGGTTTTCTTTCCATGTCTGAGGGTTTGTCTTACAGACTTCAATTAAAGGATGAATACTTCGATAAAAGCAGGTTTAAAGRGAAGAGGAGCTCTGGCTGTAGTGTCTGAGCAGCTGGTTATACTCAGCCTCAGATGCTGGGGACAGGGAGGGGGGAGAGCTGCCTTCAGAGCTCAGAGACGAGTCTCTGAACGGAGAGGGAGGTGTCAGAGCCATCAGCTCCTCTGCGTTCTTGGCTCGCCTGCCGCTCACACAAGTCCCCGCCAGATGCTCATAAATCTTAGCTGCTGGTCGATTCTCACAGAAACTGGAGACCGAGGTCACCTCGGCGTGTGTGGTGACCGTGGAGGGGGCGTGATGGTTGAGATGCTGAGGTGGACACAGCGGCGTGTCCGCAGCAGCAGCAGCAGCGGGCAGGGCGGTGGAGGAGGGGGRGCCGACAATGGCTCCTCCTGGCAGCATCATGGTGTTCAGCTCGCTGATGTTGGCAGTGAAGCGATTGACCACGCTGCTGATTTGGTCCATGATGGTGGTACCCTGAGTCTGGCCGATGTCCCCCACGCTGATGATGCTAATGTCCCCGCCSTCCATCACAACCGAAACCTGGCTGTTGTCTCCGCCTCTTCGTCTGACGCCAGGAGCGTGCTCAGGTACATACGTGGGGAAAACTTGCACCTCCTCGCTGCCCTCCTCCCCCTTCAGACCCTTTGCTTTTGATGCGTGTGCGCTGATGTTTGGTAGGGGTGACTGAGAGGGCGAGCAGCTGAAAGACTGGGACACTTGTGGCTCTTCATACAGCTCTTTGACGCTGTCTTCTGGTGTTTCTCCTCCTTTAGAGAAGGGCTTGATGATAGCCGTCTGATTCACCTCGACTGGGTCCTTTTTCTTCACATGGAAGGACATCCTTTTCCATAGATTTGGCCTGTAGCTGCGTTCATTTGGTCCCCATGACTTTCCGTTGGAACTGCAAGAGAAAACAGCAAAATTGTTGATAATGAACAACAGTTTGTGTGTTCCTAACTTAAGAACCATAAATAAACCACTGAATACTCCACTCATTGTTGTAGTACTTGAGAGCGGTCTTGCTTTTATGACTGGTTTTAAGACAACTTTTTGATGGTCATGGTCTTGTCTCAGACTAGACCACATTTGTTCCTTTATCTCGGACTTTGAGGCTTTGGGATTTTATTTYAAAACCAATCAAGACAACAACTGTAAAAATATCACTACATTGCTAGAACATTGTCCATTTTATTTGTCAATTTTTTTTGCTTTCATTGGATGTAAAATGTATTGATTCAAATCCAAATGTGACTCATGTATTTTTGTTACCCCAACCACATATCACCACCCCCTTTCACTCCCCAGTGGCACTCCAAGAAAGTGGGCAGTTATTGTAGCTTAGAAGTGAAATAAATGATAAATGCACTGTATTATAAAACACTTTACAGTACAGTTTATTTAACCATTCACATTGCACTCTACTATGCCTCTCTACAAAGCTAATCTAGATCATAAATTCCTCTTTGGAGACTAGTCAGTGCTTTAAATCACATTCATATATAGATGGAACACACATCAGAGGTAGGGGTTCATTGTCTTGGCCAAGAACACTTCGACATGTGCCTGAATAGTGGAGGAATTGAACTCTATCCCAACTCTATCAATGGAGGGCGACTCCCCTAGCCACTCAGCCACAGCTGCCCCACACAAAGCACACAGAAAGGTAAGCAATTTGCAAATGATGTTAGAAATGCTAGCTAGGTTAATGTTAGCAATCAGCCCTCACACAGAGATTTAATCAATATTAGCTACATTTTAAGTTAGCTATGAACAATAGTTTTTTTTTTCTGGTCTTCTCAACTTGGACTCAGCCCATAGAAGTCTTGGTCATGTCTCTGATCTTGACTACAAATCTAACTCCACTCCTTCCACTTTTAGATTCATGCTATTCTCTGTTTCATCTTTTTATTGAATGTGTACTAAGTCTCCTTTCATGTTCTGTCATCTTCCCTGGAAAGAGAAATCCTCCAAGGCCAGGAGTTTCCTGTGGGAGTACGTAACCTAAATGAGGTAGGCTTTTCTCAGCTTAGGGAGCAGTTTTTCTTAGCTTCCCAATCAGCGTGTTACAGTGGGTTTGGTACCTCCATATACAGTATAAACAGCAAAGGATTTACAGAATTTAAAAGATATTTCAACCAAACGTCCATGCTCATATTTAAACTAAAGAATTAGAACAAAAGCTTTAATTTGAATCATCCTTGTGAGTGACACAATGATGCTTGCTTGCATCTCTCTTTTATCTACAGTGTACCTACCTACAAGTATCATCGGACTTCTGTTTACCTTATGTTGTCCTGAGCYGAGCCACGGCGTCGAAACAAGTTGGCCATGCTGCTGGAAGATTTGCCAGTCTTGGCAGCTTTCTTGGCGTCGCCTACATGCATGCGCACGACTGTGGACGTGGTGAAAGCACTGCGCACGTTTTTCTCAGGCTTGGCGAGCATAATGTACACCTGCCATCGAAAATGAGCAACGTGTAACTATTAGTGTAAAGAAAAGCGTAGAATAGCATGATGCTAAAGCGTTTAACTTTAGCACGTTTTTCTTCCTTACCTTGGGGACAAACATGCAGCAGAGAGCCACCGTGGCACTGAGGCTGACACTAAAGCACATGGTTATGATTTTATAATTTGAGCCAAAGTAAATGGGAACAAAGGCCAGCCAGATTATGCAGGTGGTGTACATGGTGAAGGCAATATACTTGGCCTCGTTAAAATTAGCTGGTACATTACGAGTCTGTGGAAGAATAAGAAAAATGCATTCTAATGTAAAAAAAATAGTTAAAAAGAATGTGACAGGTTTGAACTGTTTACAAAAGTACCTTGAAGGCATAAAAGGTGCAGCTGAGAATTAGCAGGCCGTTATAGCCCAGTGGTGCCACCACCCCCAAAGTGGTCAGATTGCAGATTAAATGTACTTCACGGATACTGGGATAGTCATGGATCACCTATGAAGTAAAAAAAAAAGATAATGCTATTTGCATGAATATTAGAAAATTACCATCATCCACAATGTAACATTGTACACACACACACACACACCTCTGGTGGCTCTATGATAAGAAGTGCCACAATGATTCCTAGCTGCAGCAGGATGAGCAGGAAGGCGATGACCAGCTGCGCACAGGCAGACATAAAGCGAGGTTTCTTGGTGCAGATCTTCTTTTTGCTGCCAGCCAAGATGCGTGCTATACGGTTGGTCTGGATCAAAAATAGATCCAATACAGACTTTATGAAAATTTACTGAAAATATACACTTAATCATGATAGYAATCCTTGATCTTAAATATCAACTCCCACCAACACACACCAATTTCTGTCATTCTTCCCTGACAACTGACAATTATTCTTCCAAGCTTTTGATTTCTCATACTCTGAGATAACAATCCTGATAACTGTATGCACACTGTATGTCTAATTCAGAGATTATTCAGCTTTATAAAATGCATTTAAAATCTGATTTACATCTCACATGCAGCATGTATTTGTATGTGACTCACATAATGTCGGCAAAAAATATCTAATTACAGTTCAGCAGCTCTTCCAAAGGTTGTGGTATTTAGGATTCAAGCTCCAAAAAAAAAAAAAAAGGTAAAGTGTGGGTGTTTGAAGGAATAGCATTATGAAAATCTTGCTTTTATACATTACTGTATATGTATACAAAATATATGAATCACAAAACACTTAAATCCACTTTTACTTTTCAAAAGCACTGACTGAATTGTAAGCCAATAATTAAAACATTACAAAATAGTATTTATAACGATYAATTGATGAACTGAAAGAAAAACTTGAGCTCACAAGGAAGTGAAACTAACTAATACACATAGTTGTCTCGCAGTAAGTCAACAGACCTTGGTGACCAGAGCAGAGTAGCTCATGGCGGGGGACAGACCAATTCCCAGCCGTTGTAAGTAGCAGTAGATGATGTGTGGCTTGGCAATGAGGCTGAAAGTGCACAAGTATCCCARGCATATTCCAGCCAGAATGATGTAGCAGAGCTCTCGACTGGACGACTTYACCACAGGAGTGTCCCAAAATCTAAACATAAATCACACCATCATTTCAGTTCTACAGGACTCAATAATGTACTGGTAGTCTCATATGACATGTACAAGAAGACATTCGTCACTTTAGATARAAACTTAATRCAAAGAGTAAGGAGATTTGTGTTTGGTTGCATCTTGACAATAAATCTTATAGCAGGCACCTGCTTGCCAACACATAGGGTACAAGAAGTTCAAAATAATACACGCTCCTTACAAATGTGACACAGTTTAAAAACAGGCTTTATAATAAGATTTGTTGCCAAGAAACTTTGTTACACAAATTCACCAACCACAAATTTCCATACTTATTGTGTCAAGTATTTTTAAGAAGATTCATGAATTCTAGCTCTATCAATCACTGATGTGCTGTTATTTCACATCTATGTGTTGAGAACAATATTCTTGGAAAGTCTTTGTCTATAATTACTTGATGAAGACAGAAGTGACAAAAAGCGTTGCCAGGAGRCCCAGACAGGCAAAGACTACAGCGGCGATTGGCTCTGGATCCCCCCAACGCACATACTGCACTGGGATGGGTTCACAACCTGCGAGAAAAGATGAGTAAAGTCAGGAAACTGTTGATCTATGTTTCAGTGTGCATGTCAGTAACTGCAAGAAGGAGCTTGGGGCAGCRTGGTGGCTTGGTGATTAGCACTGTTGCCTAACACCAAGAAGGTCCTACACTGAAAAAAGGATTTTTGGGTGTAGCAACATTTATTTAATTATTCTTTTTATATTTTACAAAATAATATTAAATTTTATTAACTACTAGAATTTACTAAATAAACAATATCATTATATTGTATATCAATATTACTGTGCAAAAAGTAATATTTAAGTGTTTTTTCTGGACAGCACATAAACATGAATATATTAAGTAACTTCTACTCTTCTGGGCTAAAACTGAGGGTGCATGCACACACAAAGGCTGCTGCTCCTCATTCCATTGCTTCACTTTTCAAGGAGAGGACAAGACGGTGGAAATAAAACATAAGTTGTTTCTTTTGCTTGAATACATTTGTTGGTGTGCAATAGTTTGATGACATAATGTAGGTGATATTTAGTTGTCAGGGAACAGGGAATGCAT